TATAGGCTTATTGGAAGTTACCTAGCTGGGGACTATTTTCAGGCGCTGTGTAATATCATTGCGCCTGCTGCACCCATGGTACAGCAGCAAAGTTCCTTGATTATTACGCTGGAATGAGAGTATAGTTCCTAGACAAAGCGGCCTAGAAAAATCACAACTTTTCATTTTCCGTCGGTCTTAGTACACGATGTAACTACAGAAGAGTCAAGTTTTAAATAGGAAAAATATAGAAACTCTTTGGTCATTTTTGAGCGAGATGCTAACGGTCTAATCAGATTTAATGATCTATGCTAAGCTAAGCTAAAAGTGCTACTGCCAGACCCGGAGATGGGCTGAATGGATTAGAAAACGGTAAAACTCAACTGTTTAACTCTAGGGGAGTTGGAAAATGAGCCTATTTTCAAAAATAGTGGAGTGTTCCTTTAACTGATTTGCAGAGTCTAATTTTCCTGCAGGTGGATAGAGGCATCCAGTGTAAACAGGGCTGTTCTTCAGCACCCTGGCATTGTGCACAGACCTGGGATACCAAACAAAGATATTGAGGAACTTCCCCTGGCGGTCAGTGACGGCCTGCAGCTGAACAGAATGGAACAGCTTCCCGTCTAAATAGTGTTGGGCATCGCTGATGGTTCAGTTTGGATGTGACAGACATCTATTGTTCCAGCTAGCACATGGACAGCTGGAGACCCACCTAGCTGTGCAAAACCTGCTCCCACATGCTGCTCACAGTCTGTTGATATGTATGTAGTTTTTTTTTTTTTTATACAATGAACAGCTGTATTTTTATTAACTAATACTAACAAAGCTTAATAAATACTGTAACAAATGTATTGCTCATAGTTCATGTTATTTAATACATCAATGTTAACAAATAAAATCTTATTGTAAAGTGTTACCCTAAAAACAATGTTTTGCCTGATAGAGAAAAATATATCGTTGACAAAACCACCAAGTAATAAAATTAATAAAATAGTCAGAAGAGTTTAGTAACCTTCTGTTAAGTGACATTAACCAATTTAGCAAACAGACACAGCTTTATCCACTAAAACATTTATTTAGCTTTCAGTTGCCAATTCAAGTAAAAAAAATAAACCACTCACTCATTCATCCATTCATTCATTCATGCTGTAGTAGCAGTCCATAGAACAGAAGCCAGCAAACTCTTGGTCTGAATAGAACGCTGTGAGACCCCCTTCTTTCCATGGCCACAGTATCCAGTAGTGTTGGAAAGCACTAGTTTGCAGGTGCATCTACAGCCAGAGGCGGACAGTAACTAAGTACATTTACTTGAGTATTGTACTTAAGTACACTTTGAGTATCTGTACTTTACTTGAGTATTATTTTTTCTGGGAACTTATGACTTTAACTTCACTACATTTGAAAGACAAATATTGTACTTGTCACTCCACTACATTTCTATCAAGGTCCTCGAAGTAGAAAGTCGTTAGTATGTAGCGGCTTTGACAGTCAGTGGATGATTTGTTTTCTTCTCTAAAACTTGACTTTCTTTTTTTCAGACAGTTTCAGTAATCACTCTTGTAGGGCTACATGAAGAGATTTCCCAGCATTTTTTGATGTTTATTTACAATTCAACAATATTGTCTGATTTTTGCAATTATAGACCAATATCAAATCTTCCTTTTATAGGCAAGATTATTGAAAAGGTAGTTTTTAAATCAGCTGAACAAATACTTAAACTGGATACCTGGACAATTTTCAATCTGGTTTCCGACCGCATCACAGCATAGAGACAGCGCTCATTAAGATAATAAATGATATTCGCTTACATTCTGATTCTGGCAAAATATCAGTGCTGGTGTAACGGGGCTGACGAGATGCGAGACGTGTGGATCCATCTGCAAGCTTTATTCAAAGAGACGTGGTATAACAGGCAGGGTCGAACAATGGCAAACAGGTATATGGCGGGCAAAAACACAAGAATAGTTCTAGGGCTAGCATAGGTCACCGATCGGCAGACAGAATCACAGGGGCGAGACGAGAGGGAGAAATCCAGGAAAACAGGCAAAGATCAGAAACCACGAAAACAGGCAAAGCAAAACAAGGAAAACACGGAGACTCGGAAAGGGGTACAGGCTAAACAATACTCAGC